TTTTTTGGCAAAAATCTTGTTGGTCTAATAAAAGATATCATCTCTACTATAAGTCCTGATTGCCTTTTCCTTTTAATGGCACTCGTCTGTCTCTGATCGACCTCTTTCCTAGGGGCGCTGGGGACTTGGCACTACTTGGCTTCCTGGCCCTGGCAAGTAGCACTCCCAAGGTCTCTTCCAGGAGCTGTATCTGCTTGCAAATACTGCCAAGAGCCTGCATGGACTTTTTAAACAGCAAAACCAAAATGAATAAAGAAATGAAATTCCTCCAGCAAATTAGCTTTTTAGAAGTGTTCAGACACCACGAGGGGTCCAGCCTGAAGCCACAAAGCCGAGGAAGTCAGTTAAGGCCAAGCTACATCCTCGCTCCCCCCTGCTGTGCATCACGCGGAGGGGAGAGCTCTTGCCGACAGCTGCGCTACCCGGAGCGGGGAGAGGCGGCCGCCACGCACCATTTCCCAACCTGGGTTGATCTAGGGTAGGACCTTCCCCGGGTCCTATCACAGCTTCGCCTGGTGCCGCTGGATGCCCGCCCGGCAGCCAAACCAAAGATCACGGCAGCGCTTGTTCATTTACAGATGTTAATAAGCAGACAACTGAAAGGGATTAAGAGCTGGGTCCTGGCTTGAGGACCTGAAGGCCATCGCTGAAGCCCAAAGTGTACCAGTGCCTACAGAGGTACTTCCTCTGGTTTTCCAAGTTACCTATTTTCTTGGTGGAAAAAAACAAACAAATCCTCTCCTTTTTCTAGCTGGAACATTTGGTTTTGCTTCTTTCCCCCTTTCCGATGAAAGAGCTGCCTTGGGAATAGCGAGTGAGAGCAGACAGCCCGGCGCAGCACAGCCCATCGCTGCTCCGCATCATCACCTTCCAAAGAAAGAAATTTAAATAATATTCAGGTTGCGCCGAAGATGTGCGGCTGTGAAAATGAAAAGACATGGCCCCAGAACAGAGGGCAAAAGGGCTGATTTCGCTTTACGTTTCCTGACTCTTGTCAGTTTGTCACAACTTTAAGGCTGCAGACACAAGCGGTGCGTTGAAGCGGGCAGCGGGCGAGCGCAAAGCAGGGCTTATTCCAGAAATTATTTACAAAGGGGGGGAAAAAAACCCTTTTGGGAAGATACAGGTCGTTACATACGTGGGAAACGAACTCCTCCTTCCTGGGTGGCCACACGGTGCAGACGTTTGCTGTGAAAGTCTAGTGAGTGTGATCCCGTTGCGCCTGTTTGGCGTTTGCTTCATGAATTGCATCTACTGGGGTTTGCCCCCAAATTGGGAAGAAACAGGATGTCTCTCAGCAAACTGAACTGATCACAAGACACCAGACCTCACTGGATTTTTTTCATAAAATAAATGGAGGAAAAAGGAGGAAGGACGAATCTGAAATTGCTGCCCAATGCCCATCCAGTTAATTACTCCCAATTTCTATTAATGATACTCTTACAGAATTTTAATGAGTCTAGTTCTTTGACTAAAGTGAACAGCAGTCCCCATATCTTTAACTGACAGTCAGCAGCTCAGTACTGATATGTTTATTGCTCAGCATGGGGGTGGACTATGAGGCAGCCCCATGGGAAGATGGGCTCTTGCTCCTCTTAGGACCCGAGTGCCAGCAGGAGCGGGGTCCTATTTGCAGCAATGACTCAATGCATGAAGGTCAGGGGAAAAAAGGAGATTCAAATGAGGGTGGACACTTTCCCTTTGCTTCTCCCCCACCATTAAACAGAAATACTCGAGCTAGAAAATATTCTGTGGTCATGGACTCAATCCAGCAAAGTCTGGAAAAACCCCACTGAGGTCAGCCATGTGTGCGGGGCATGGTGCTTGGGAAGGATGGATGGTAATGCTAATGAATTACTTATTGCAAACCCACCCACAAACAAAGCCTGCCCGTGAATGTGTCAGACGGGGAACGACATGACTTTGTTCGCCCCTGGCCACCGGCTTCTCCCTTGCGCCGCTTTGGACCAGCTCAAAGCCAGTTTGATAAATAGTCCATTCTACCGAGATGGTAGGGGCTCCCAGGAGAAGCATTTGTAAATGCACTGAAAATACTCTGAATTGGGGACAACATAATATTTCCTTATATTGGGATTAAAGCACGCAACCTGCCTCCATCCCTCCGGAGATTGCCGAGAAATGCGAAGGGAGGCAGGACAGGCCGAGGGTGATGCTCCCCTGTGCTTGAACCACTGTGCCTGCCAGTGGGTCGGTCCAGGTTGCGAGTCCAGGGAACCAGCTCTGAGATGAGGTGGGTTAAAATCAGGATGGCTGTAGCCGACAGACAGGGCTCGGGGGAGATGCTCAGCCCCTGCTCCGTGCTGTGATGGCAGCCGCCTCCCCTTGGCCTCTGGCGGGGTCCCAGGGATGCCGATTGCTGAGCAGAGAGTGGGGTCCTGCTCCCCCAACCTGGGGCCATGTGCTGAGGTCCAACATACCAATTTTCCAGGCCCAAACAGGGTGGGGGAATTAAGGATGGAGAAAGGAAGATAAAGCACCATTTTGATCACTGCTTTTCCTCTGCGAGGCCAACGAAAGCAAGCAAGCTGGCAGCAGGATGAAGAGGAAACGTGATGCGTCCTGGGAACATGCTGCAGCAAGAGCAAATGTTGACGCCTCCCCCCCACCCAAAAGACGCTCTCTCCAGCGCCTCCCACCCACGACAACCCAAACGCCGGAGAACGTGTCACGGCAGCTCCCTGCATTGTAAATGGAGACTATCCATGGGCACCTGATGAGTCGAGCATGGAGCCTGGGGTGGGGGAGGCAAAAGCAGACCAGAAGACTTCCCACCGCTCTGACTTTCCCACAGCTGTCAGCAAACGAGAGTCGATCCGTGACACCCATTTATTCGGCTCCGTTGCCTGTGCCGAGCGTCACCCTGCAGCGGGTCTCAATCGCGGCCGTGTCACCCAAGCACGTTTTGCCAGACCACAGGAATTGGAGATTAACTACAAAGATGATTCAAGGAGGGGAAAGAAAAAGACATGGAAAAGCAAATATGAAAGAGTCCCATTTCCAGCTCTAAGTGGAATTACAGAAAACATGTCAGAGTCTCCCTGCGTGACAGGTCAGGCAGACGTCTGGCTGAGATCCTCATTAATTTTCAGTCTTCCAAACCACTCTGCACAAAAAGGCCAAAAGGTTTTCTTCTGTATCTTTTGACAGAGCTCTCTTAAAATGAATTGCCAGTAATTCTGAGAGATAATCTCTGGTTAAATATTTTAAGTAGAAGATGATTTCTGATATAAAAATGCGAGGAACAGCCTCTGAATATTAACGTGGGGAGGCGAAGGAAAGCCAAAATTGTGCAGAAGCCTGAGAATGGATAAGCCTCGAGCATCCCAAGCGCAACAGGGACCTGGATCCCTTTCTTTGCCCTGCAGCCACATTGGGCCCTTGCTTTGGGTCTCCTATCCAGGACTCGCAGGACGGTAGGGATGAACTCTGCCAACCCTCCTGTGCCCAGGGGCCCAAGGCAGCCTTCCTGCCAAAGAGAAGTGAGACCAGGCGGTGGGAGAACAACCCGCCAGAGACCGAGGTGGTGCCAAGCGTCTTTCAAGTCCTGTTGGGCTGATGAGAGCCAGCATCCTAGATGCGAGCTGGCCTTTTGGAAGTGGAAACAGGCTGGCTGGAAGAGGACGTGACAAGACTAATTGAGTTAAAACCTGCAGTTTTGCTTGCGTGGGGAAGACAGCTGGAAATTCACCGTCTCCACCCTTCCGTGAAGGACCTAAACATCCCGGTTTTTACACGGTTCTGCGTTTTCTGGCCGCCCGAGTTCCCGGCGTCCCGGCCGAGTGCCCTACTTTTGACATGGGAGAGCACCCCTCGGCCCAGAGCACGGTGTGCTGCTTTCGCCCCCCCTGTCGTGTAGCAGCAGGGGGGCTTAAACACTCACAGGGGCAGAAAAAAGGACAAGAAGCCGGCCTTTGTTCCAGGCAGACAGGACAAGGTCACGTTACTATGGCAGCATCAACCATTTCCTCTTACTCCAGCTCGTGGTTCAACTTTGCCCACAGTTTATTCCCTGGGAAGCCTAATCCAGAGTTCAGGTTTGTATGTGGGAGGTCAGAGGTCAACAGCAAGATAACAATGGCCCAGTCAAAAGAAAAGAAAGCTATGATATAGTCGAATCAAAGGGCGAGTTCACTGAGCGCCAGGAGGAGGCTTGGACGGGGCGGCTGGGATTCATGCTCTTGCCGCGGCCCCAAGGTCTTGATTGAACTAGTTTGCTTTCCGCGCACACCATTCCTGAATGGCACACAATACGGTGGATGCCGGAGCGTGGAGCAGGGGTGGGACACGCGGGAAGTGCCCGCGGCGTGGCCAGCGCTGGGAACTTCGACGCTCGCCAGCCACGTCACCATTGGGAATCCACAGCTGAACCACCGCGCTCATCGCCTGCCCGGCACGATCCGTTTCCCGCACCGCCCTCAAAAACGATTTTGTAGCTTTCAGAGGGGCCGAAAGCAGCCGAAGAGTTTTCAGCTCAGCCGCCGCTGCTAGAAAAGAAACAGGTTGTGAAAAAGGCACGGCCAGGCGCGTCTCGTTTGAAAGTTGCAGGATCATGTTTCGACATCGTATGTGGTAGCGCACGGGGACAGTAAGCCTGCTCCACGCCATGCAGGGGATGAGCACATGGGTGCACCACCAGCTGTACGCCCTTTAGACAAGGCAAGACAAGGCAATGCTATTCCAGTGACACGGACATCATCAGGACACTTAAATTATACTCGTCGCCCGTGCATCTCTACCATAGGACAGGGCAGGAATACAATCGGTATCAGGACTTGGGCCAATGACAGTATTATAGCCAAAACAAAAGTTTACACAGTTCAGTGAAAATGTTGCTTCTTTTCCCCAATAATAAAAACCAGAAATCAAAACTTTTTCAATAAAAATGTTTGGGTTTCCTTTAAAAGAAAAAATCAAATCAAAATGCAATGTTCTAAAAACTGAAATGGATTTCCAGGCTGAAACATCATGAAAACGTGAGGTTTTTTCCCTATAATTTCCCCTGGAAAATATTTGCTTTGTTGGTCCGGCGGTAACCAAGATGGGCACCAAACAGTCGGGTTGCATCTTCCAGGCGGTTCCGCACTTTGCAAACGTCCCCGCTGCAGACACGTTTAATATAAAGACAGAATTACCATAAGCAAGACAACATTACAATGCATCAGAATAAAGTCTGTCGGTTCGGAGTCCCTGGGCCAGATTGTTCTTTAACCTGTCAGAATGGTTGAGTTGTCAGAAAGAAAATACAATCAATAGACGATGCCCTTTGTTTACACAGTCGGTTTTGTCTTCGCATCCCCAGAGCCCCGATGTGCCCTCCGCACCTCCCGCCCCGCTCCGCGTCTCCACTTTACAGATGGCAGCCTGGAAAGGTGACAGATTCATGAAGGAAATGGGATATGCAGATGGCAGCACCAAGAAGGCAGGTCCTCTCTGGAGCCGGCAGACTGCTGGGGCCAGTGTACACAGACGGGGGAAGCTCCAGCCCCTGAGCCATTGTAGGAGCTTGTGCTCGTTTTCCCCTCCGCAAGAGTGAAAGTAATGCGGGACAATGGGAGGTGGGGAGAAGGCCAAAGTTCAAATTCAGTTTGCTGCATCGCTTAGCCACAGCCCGCACATTACCCTTGGGCTCAGCGGTGCAGCTTGTCACAAAGAGGGGCCCACGGGATGGGGGAGAAGGGAGGGGATCTGGCAGCCTGGGAAAACCGCACGGGGAAAGTAGACACGAAAACCAGGATTAAGACGGGCAACAATCAGCATCTGTGTGCTCAAGTCTGCACGAGTGCGGCTGTTCTCTGCACTGCAATCCAGGGAATTAATTATGGGGAGCCTGGGATCCCAAGAGCAATGTAGGAATGGCTACACGCATCAGACTAGCCACGCTTTCTGGCCGGTATCCCATCTCATTAGCTGACGGCAAATTGCTAAGCCATTTTCCGGCTGTAAAAGCCAACATGCTGGAGAATGCATGCTACCTACACATCCTTGAGCCACGGCTTATGCCAGAGATGCTGCGTCTGGGCAATGCAAAATTCTTGGGAAAGTGGCACACCGCCAGCCTCACCACGTGTAAAGCAGGCGCTGTGTTATGATGCACGAGCAACATTTCTAGTAAGAGAGGAAATTGGCTTAAGGCAGAGGAGATGCAGCAATCGGGTGCTGTCAGAAAGGCACTGCCATGTTAAAAACAGGTTGTATCGCTGTGCTGTAGAAATACCTCTCATCGGGGTGCAAATCACCAGCATGGGCGCCAGCAGCACTGAAGCCCATCCACTTGAGTGATGGAAAGACGTTTCGCCGGCCCCGCACACCGGGATTTATTTCATGCTCCTGAGGGCATCTGCTCCTTGAAGATGTGGTACCTGGGCACTATCCCCAAGTGTATTTAGAGTAAACTAGCCCATGCTAAAATCCACATAGAAAGCCACTGGTTTTCTATACTACACTGCAGGCATCTCTGTGACTGCCATGTAGATATACACCCACGGCCTCTGGGGCTTCACCGTCAAGCCCTCAAGGAAAACCTGCCCCAGGCTGAATAAAGATCAGGAAGAGGACTTTCCCAAAGAAAAAGCTACAAAGGAGTGGATTGCAATAGCTCCTGGAGAACCAGGTATGCATCTGGGGTCGATTCCCCACCCGCTCGCCCGCTGGACTGGTCTCCCTGCTACCAGAAAAGAGTTGGTGGCTTGAGAGAAGTGGCAGGAGAGCATATTTGCTGGATCCCGTGCATGGCACCAGGGACCTGGGCAAGAGCAAATGGTTCTTGCACCTGCCCTTCCCTGCACGGCCCTATGCCATTGGCACAGCTGGTGAAAGGGAAGAGGGATGCTCACCCACGTATCCAGCCACCAGCTGCAATATCTCCTCTCGTGGCATAGCTGTACCCACGGGAGCTCACAGAAAGCTCCCGGTTGTTACTGCTGTTGCTCCCAGGCACGTTTTCCTAGGGAGACACTGAAGGGAAAAGGCTGGTGCTGCATCAGCAAGATGAGCTTTGCTTTACGCTATACTGGAAGTAGCAAGGCCATTTACAGGGCATCTTCCTTCCCTTGTGTGTTCTGTATGCAATACAAAGGGACGAGAGGGGAGCGCGATTTCAACTGTGCGCGCAAAACTGTGCATGTCCGTGCCTGAGTGTGTACATATGAGAGAGCAAGGAAAGGAAGAAGGAACTTTTTGGTGGGGGAGGAGGCATGTGTCATTTTACAATGGGTTTTCTCGACCACCAATTGAAAGTCATTTGACACAAGGGTCTCTCACATGAAGAAACTCCATCCAAGTCATGGCAGCTGTTGGCAATGATGCAACAGAAAGGGAGAGTCTGCTCCTTTGCACAGCTGTAGTAACAGGACTGTAAATGACCCTAAGCAATGATTTGTTCCTACAGATCTAAAGATCTTTACCCCTGGGGACCTTACTATAGCTTGCAAGATATTTTGGCTTAAAAGGCCGTTCCTGAAAGATGAATTCTAAAAACCGAACGTTGGTAATTAAGCAACACCTTAACACTCAAGCCCACAAAAGAAGAGAAACACTCTGAAAAAAACCTAGACCCCATTTTCTCGAGCTCTGGAACGGATGCATTAAAGTCCTACGCTTCTACCTCATTGCAGGTGCATGTTTGAGACCCAAGTGTGACACCCAACTGTCAGATGGGCTCAAATGCACTCCCTGGAGGGTTCAAAAAAAATCTGTTGGGTCAAGCTTTAAAATAAAAAAAAAGATAATTGATGTAGGTCTGGGGCCAAATTCTCCGCTGCTTTATTCGCCAAACACGCCAGATGTGCAGAAGTCAGCAGGAAGCGTTTATTGATTAGCCATCAGCAGCATTGTGTCACCCACGTGCACCACCATTATTGATTAGGTGGAACTTCAGTTTACTTGGTCAATGGGCGCCTCTTAGCTTTTGTCTCTGAAAGTGAACAGCATAATGACTGCTCCGGAGGGGGGCTGGAGAATACCAAAGACATAAAAAGTCTCCATGACAAAGAGCCTGGGGCAGCTGTGCTTAATTCCTAGACTGAGGGAAACAGAGATAATCCACTAATCCTGAACAGAGAGGGACGGAGCATGCCCGCCACCCAAGCAGGGCTCCGGCAAGATTTGCACATAAATAAAGCAGCTCCTTTCCCTTTGACACCAAAGGTCACGGGTGTTGTTTGGGTCGGGATTGGTCGAGAGCAGCCCCTTCCTTTCGGATCACTCTCGCTCATTGGATGTACGGTCCACTGCGTCGATGGTATTGAATGAAAGGGCTTTACCCAGGATCCCTTTCCAAGTTTCAGGAATAGAGAAGTTAGAGGGAGAAAAAAAAAATGAAGGAAGCTGACATTTTCAGAACGTAATCGCGCCCTTCATTTGCTGGACGTTGAGGCGTTTCGGCTGCAGAGCAAATTGCAGCGAGCGGTCTACCCTATAGGCTTGGGAGTGGGAAGAGCATGCCCTCGCACTCGAGGGTCACAAACAAACAGATTCGGATATGGTAAGAACTTCCTCAAGCCCCTGCCACCAGCCCGTGCAAGTCCTGTTCTCCGCTTGCCTCGACAGAGTTGGCGAGAAATGCTCCATTCTCCCAGCTGCTGGTTTTTAGCTCCGTGGCTGCTGTGCTGCACGGACTCAGCAAGGCACAGATGTCAACTTTGCAGGTTCATGGCTAGGCTCCCACCTCCGGGGTGATTGCAATGCCGTCTATGCGGGGGCTGTGGGCGCTACACTTAGCATAGTCTTGTAGGACCTTGTATTGCATGCCTACCCTGGTGCCTCGCCCCAGCTAAACCCTACCATGAACATATGAAGAGCTGCTGTACAGAAATGCTAGCCAAATCATCCCTTAGCACCCCCCTACCAGCCCCGCATGGTGCGTGGTCAGGGGTTAACCACAGGGTCTGCGCTCACGTGCACCCCCCCACCCAAGCAGCCCATAAAAGCAGCAGAGTGGTGCAGCGAGACCGTGACTGCTGCCAGTCCAAAGAAACGGGCCTTCCCAAGCAACCAAACAGGCCCCAGACTTGTGGCCTCTCTTGCAAGCCGCTTGCACAGAACAACCACGTCTCTCTAGCCCCACAGGGCTCCGACTGTTGTGAACAGAAAGGTTTTGGGCTCCTTCCCTGTCTTGCCAATGCCACCTCCCTGGTTTGCATGGTGCTCTGGGCATCCACGGGAAGGATAAGGGACCCACCCAGAATAGGCTGGGTGCCATGGGGAAACCAGGAGGAACCCAGGGACTGAACAGAAAGCTTTACTGGACCAATGGAAAAGCCCCACTAGCAAACAATCACCACTGCAACACAGCACTTCCCCTCTGCAAAACTCCTCAGAAAGGGCCGCTACATGCTCGTCCCTGCACCGCAGGTTCTCAGGTAGGATGGGACTGTCCCTCGGGTGGGCTCATCTGCTCCTACACGCAATGCCCATTACCCTCAAGCAGTTTTACATGCTAAGGTAATTACCTGTGCCTCTCAGGTGGCCTGACTCATTAACTACCTGGAAAAGCTGGATGTCAGAGGTATGGCTCTGCCTGAACCAGCGCTCAGACTAATCAGAACGACCAGTAGGGAAGCTCAGCAAGGGCCTATAAGCCATTTGAGTAGCAGCGAGAATCCCTCATTAGAAGAAAAAACGTTATGTTAAAAGGTGGCGGTGCCCACGTTTTGCCCACCGGAGGGCTGCTTTGGCCACTGACCAGGAGCCTGAGGGCTGCATATAATCTGCATAAAATCAGAGCTGATCACAGCCGTCCTCCTTGTTAATATGCAGCAGTCCCGGCATGCTCCGATGCACCGCTCACGTGGTGCCAACTACAGGCGTGATGCTGCAGAGAGGTGTATGCAAACACCCATCAAGGACAGAGGAGATGGACCCAGCTACAGTCTTGGCTCCAAACAAGAACAGAGCCAGGCCTCCTGGGGTCTGCATGCTCCCTAGGCCAGGTCCTCATCCTAAAGCTGTGGGTTGCATGGTAGAACTATGCACTGGCATCCCATAGCTGCCCCCATCTTAAAATCTCTTCCATGCTTCTTGCTAAACATGCCCTTGCTACCTAAAAGCCCTTCTGCATAGCTGCTTCAGAGGTGAAGGGGGCTGCCTTCATAACCGTGCTGGGCAGATGCACAGCGCCTTCCTGGTAGGGCACCTCTCGCTTCAATCTAGCGGTACGCATTATCTAATGACATATTTATTGCTTATGTAGATGTGACTTATTTACATGGGAAATTGATTTATCTATTAGATAATTAGTAAACTTCAATAATTGCAAAAACCTTTTAGCAATCAGTTGACATTTAATTAACATACAATAACTGTCTTATTAAATCTACATTAAAAGCCTATTCGAGTTAATTAAAACTCATATGTAGAACTTCATGATTCTTTGGGAAACCTCATTACAACTCAGCACCCAAAACTGAACACAACTCTTTTTCTAGTTTCCTTTACAGACTCATTTTTGTAGGGGCTTAATCACTCCGTTTTTAGCTGCACTGCCTTAGGGTTAAGAGCAATGCAGCATTTGGCTTTCTACGACTTTTTG